GCTGGAATCTGAGAATTTTAAGTATTTTTATCTTCAAATATGACAAATAACGTTGGCGAATAATGATTTCAAAGGCAACCAAACCTTTGTCCCACTGACCTCGTCTTCACCTCACCCAATAAGCTTGGACGCAGCTTGAAACTCGCTCAGTTAGCATTAAGCACAACGATCTTCAGGAGCTTCTTTATAAAAATCATATGAATCTGCTGCATCAACCAGTCAGGCGTGTCCTTCCCTATACAATAAATGTCATACATGTTGTTGTTGGGCTCAGTTCAAACACTGACTGGCTTCAATCTCGCTGCCAGAGCCGCTCGAACTGGCAGCAGAAAAACAATCCAGTGCAAATTGGTTGAAAAGCCTAATCTATCCAGCCCACTTAGCAAACAAATCTGTGGCGGATTCTGCGCCGCGGGCGTGTTGTAAGAAACGCTGCGCTCAGTCCAATCATAATAATACTGATGTCATATTTTCCACCCGGGCCTGCTGTCGGCTGTTTCTGCAAAACAATTTTAAAGGCATGCGTCTGCTGCAGGAGACAGTCGGCAGCGAAGAAAAAAACACACAACAGAAAGTTTAAATGACACTGGATTCGATGCCACAGTGTCAGCAGATAAACCACAATCCTGCTAAGAGGAGCAGATCCGCTGGTGTCTTCACGTCTTAGGATTTTAAAGTAGAAAACAACTTAACACTCGGTGTAGTGAGATCTTTCTCGCAACACTTACACAGCTCGACTGCCTCGAATAACTCTTTTTTAAAATGACTTCCATCATGTTGGAGCTGCCAGTTTAGCCTACAGGTTTGTTCACATTTCTATACCGCCGTTTATTTTATCGCTGCATCGCTATTCACCAAACACAGCAGTCAAAAACAGAACAGGAAGACGTCCTGCTGTCACACGCTTTCGTGTTAGCGGTGATCCTCTGTGGTGTCAATCACAGGTGCAGAGAGAGTTTTCTTCCTGAAGCTCATGAGTTTTCTTTGAGCGAAACAGAACTTTTAACCAGGAGTGTTTTAATTTGATGCTGCCATTACATTTCAGAGGGAAATGTTGTGACTTTTAACAAACTGCAACTAAAATTACGAGTGACTTTGCACATATAGACTTTAAGTAAACCTGCAATGAGCGTATAAAATGGAAGAAATTGTTATTGATTCAATTAAAGCACCAGACGGCGTATGAAATGAGGAAAATGAGCTTTTTCATCTCCACAGTCGTGCTTTTACGTCTCCTTTTGTAATAGCACACTTTGCTGCTACTCAATATTGTGCAGTTTCACTTGTAGGAAAGCACTTTAAAATTCTTATTTCTACTTTTACTTTGTGAAATATCTGAATATTTCTTTCACGAGTAAAACCAAATGACACTTTTCCATTTAAAAGCTCTATTACAGAGTTTTTCTTGGTGCTCACTGCAGTTCATAAACATCATCAGCGACACAAAGGTGACTCGTTTTGGACGAAGATTCGATGGTGAGAGAAGCATTTGTGTGACAGTGCGCCATTAGAAAGAGAAGTACTGCATTTAAAAATGTACCTAAATGAGATTAAATATTTAAAAGTCATCAGCAAGATGAACTTAGAATATGAATGAAGTGGTAGATTGTTGCTTGTCATTGTTATGTTTGCTTGAAAGAGGCATTTCACTGTTGTAGTTGATTAAAAAAAACAAAACAATTTGCAAGTTTGGAATCTCAAAAGCTATCAGATAACGTAGAGGACTGACTGTATGAAATACTCAAGTGCAAATACAGTGTTTGCATAATTGTACTTTGTTGTTTCCCGCCACTGACAGTGTTATTATTAATAACACTGCGGCCCTTTTGCCAAACAGACTGCGCAGCTCGTTGTCTGATAACCTTTATCGAATCGGCGTGTTTGCTTCTGTGACTTCACTCGTTATCTCCACGGTCACTACATGCCCTCGAATCATGAGTCAGCTGTGGTTTTGCGAAGCTCTCGGCCTGTGGGATAAACGGAGATGCCTCGGCGTACCTGACGAGGTTAGCAGCATAACGCCGGCCCCAACACAATGGCATTTACTCTCTATGCAAAGAACTCCCCTGAGACGTTCGCTTCTGGCATAACTCATTAGTCTATTGAATAGAGCGAGCGCTAACATAATGGCCCATTACACAGCGAGGAATCTCCTCGACTCGACAGGAATTCTGCAGCTCTGGGGCCAAACAATAGGACCGTGTGCGGGGAACGTCTGGGCGGGACCGGCCGGCCTCGGCCTCTGACGTCTGAGCAACGCCTGGTCTACCTCCACACGCCCTGTTTTTCCAACCAAACACTCCCAGGTGTGCCAAAGTGTCTCACGAAACCCTGCTGCAGCCGGCCAGAGGGGATTAATTACCCTGGCTGCCTGACTCAAACTCAGATGGGCTGACAAAGGTCATCAGGGCTGCGTCCGAAATCACTCGCTGCACCCAATTTAGTCACTCCAAGTATCCCACAGTGCACCAGGAAAAGCAGTGTACAGCCCACGGTCACCAGCCAGCAACATGTACCAGCATGCACTGCTTTGAAGGACGCAATTTATAGTCTCAGTATGTATTTTATAGTGTAAAGACACAATTCACAGCGTTAAGTCGTAGTTTATAGTGTTAAGACGTATTTTATAGTGTTAACCCTATTCAGGATCTTTGGGGTCTTTTGGATTCCAGGACATTTGGTTTAGGTGATATTGGTTTTTTTATTTTTGAAGATTTTTTTTATTTATTTTTAAATATAAAAAGAGGGACATTTGTCATGCATTTGGAACCAAAAATACGTCAACTTATCAGAAAATGTATTTAACATCGTATAAAAGTCTATAATTAATACCAACAAATATTCTCCACATATTCTTTCTTGGGGTCCAATGGGCCCCGAAAACCCTTCTACGTATGGAAACATGAAAGTCCTGAATAGGGTTAAAATTTATAGCGTATTTTATAGCATTAAGACATATTTTATAGTTTTAAGACATATCTTAGCGTTAAGTCGTATTATGTAGTTTTAAGATGTATTTTATAGGGTTAAGACGGACAGTCGTGACTCGATAATCTGACTCTAAATGTAAAACCTTCTTCTATGTCGGATATCAAGGACGAGATACGAGGAG